ACCCTATCTCAAAAAATCAAAACAAATGAACTGAAGGAAATAGCAAATGGTTAGTTTTCTTGGAGGATCAGGGGGAGGGGAAGGAGAGAGAGAAGGATGACGGGGGAGGGAGGCTGTCAGGTGGTGGAGACTGGAGATTCTACCGGTGCGATGGGCCTAGAACAGCTGTGTTTGGGACAGATCTGTCAGGGGCAGGGGACACACACCCAGACAGTGTTGGTCTCTGTTAGCTGCCTTGTCAAGGGGACAGATGTTGGGGGTGGGTGCTGTAATTGCTCCCTGTGTGAAGTCCTTGAGTGAGTGTGTGCCGGAGAGAATGTGTGGAGGGGAGAAGGAGGCAGGGGAAGGGAGTGGAGTTGCCCTTGGAAGGGGCTGGGGGCAAAGAGCTGGGGGCTGAGTGGGAGCACGCGTGACTGTCAGGGCCGTCTGCGGCTGAGTTCAAGGGTCCCATGCTGAGGCCATGAAGTACTGGATAGGAGGAATTTTGGAATTTTTTTCCCCAAAAATTATGGCAAAAAGATCCCATTGTAGGGCAGAATTGTAACTCAGTGTGTACTCTTCTGTGGCCAGTGTTCCTCGTCTAGGAGTGGAAACAAGGGCCAGGTTTTATTACAAAGGAAAAATAATGTTTTATTTGCTTTGTGTTTTGAGAAGTTGAAGACAGTTTTTAGACCAGTTTTTGAGAATATGTCCCAGGGTAAGTCAGGGGTCATGAAACCCATCTTGTATCCAACCAGAGATGCAACCTTACCCCGAAGGCATCTTCAGAGGGCAGTAGCCCTCCCAGTTTTCAGTACCGACTTGAGGTTTGCTCTAAACTAGGGCATCCTCCTGACTCAAGGGTGGAACCCAGTTGGTTAGGCCAGAAAAAGGGGCTCACTGTCCCAAGAAAGTGGAACATCTGTTACCCTGGGTTCTCTAGGAGCAGAAAGTCTGGCTGGGACCGGCGACCTGCACAAGTGTGTTGTTCTTGTCTGTGGTGCTAAAGTTCCAGCCATGGGCACACACTAGGAAAGCTCTCCCACTGAGCTGTGTCTCTGCATACCTGCCTCCCTCAGTACAAAGAAGTGCTGTGCTGTCAGAGGTGAGGAGGGAACCCTGCTTTTGTTCTTAAGGGAAAGTGAATGAATGTTTCTTCCACAAAACATTTTCATAAACAGTTCTTCCCATAGGAAAATGCATTTTGTCCAAACATGATGTCACAAAATGTTTTATTTGTTTGTTTTGTTTTTGTTTATGTTTTGAGACAGGGTTTCTCTGTGTAGCTTTGGAGCCTGTCCTGGAAATCACTTTGTAGACCAGGCTGGTCTGGAATTCATGAAGATCCACCTGTCTCTGCCTCCCGGGTGCTGCCTGGCAGTGCCACAGACCTTTTAATCCTAGCAGACAGGAAGCAGGGGCAAGCGAATCTCTGAATTCTAAACCAACCTGAGCTACGTGGTGAGGCCCTATCTCAAAAAAAGAAAAAGGGAGGGAAGGAAGGAAGGAGGGAGGAAGAGACTATGCTAATGAATATTGGAAAAGTTGATTTAGGGACTGCAGAGGCAGCTCAGTGGTCAATAGAGCACACTGCTCCTTCAAAGAACCCAGGTCCAGTTCCCAGCACCCATGCTGGGCGGCTCACAACTGCCTGTCACTCCAGCCCCATGGATCTGACTTTCTCTGCTAACACCAACCTTCCTAAAGTTGGAATGAAATCAAGAAGAAAATTTTGGTAAAAAATTAAAAACTTTTGAAGGATAGATGGGGAGAAAATACAGTTTTCTGTTTGTTTTTTAAAATAATGTGTTTCAACAGTCCCACAAAAAGGAATTTCTTCAACTGGGCAAGGTGATGCATGTCTTTAATCCCAGCACTTGAGAGGCAGAAGCAGTTGGAACTCTGAGTCCAGGGCCAGCCTGATCTACAAAGTTCTAGGGCAGCCAAGGCTACACACACACACACACATAAAAAGCACTTTCATATCTGTGTGAATATGAAAATGTTTCCAAAGAAGAAAATTTTTGAAGAATATGAGTAGGTTATTCACAAAATAAATACTAGTAGCCAGAAATATTAAAAAATAAATAAACTTATTAATAAAACTATTTTGGGGCACCGGGTCTCTCCATAGCCCTGGCTATCCTGGAACTCACTCTGTAGATCAGACTAGTCTTAAGCTTACAGAGATGCACCCCCCTCTGACTCAACTGCTGTAATTAAAGAAAGGTCTGTGCATGTCCCATTAGCAACATGAAAAGCTTGGCATGCTTGTACAGTTAAGGAAGGTGGGCACACTGTGTGCTTGTGGCACAGATACTGAGAACAACCTGGCAGGCTTGCATAGGCTTTGACTCAGAGCATCTACCCTGAGCAGATGCTGCACCAAGTCCACAGACATGCAGGCTTGAGGCTGAAGGTTCTGGATGCACACACACACACACACACACACACACCATAGCCAATAAATGCATTTGGTATTTCAGAAAAAATCATTTTAAAAAAGCTGCCATCTGGTAGCATATCTCTGAGTAAATGTGTGTACCACATGGTCACAGCCATATGTGCATTTATGGACCAAGGCAGGACTGGGGGATTGCAGCAAACTGTTAACAGTTATAATTTTAAGCTGGGTGTGTTGGTAAACAACAACAACAAAACCCCAAAACTCTTGAGTTAAACCTTCTATGCAAGCCTGGACACACTCGCGCACACACACACAAGTGCACATACCATATACTCACACACTCATATAAACACACACTGCACACTCTCATGCATCTGTACACATGCCCTGGTGAGCCCTGGTGGGAAGAAGTTGAAAGACGGAAGCCAGAGCAGATAGTTGCTAACTGGGACAGCTTGGGAGGGTTTGTGGCAGGTCACAGCAGCAAACCTCACACCCTGATGTGGTTTCGGAGGGGCTTGGCACCTTGGGTAGCCAAGGGTAGGCCCTTCTGTCTTCCCGGTAATGACAGGGCAGCCCTTCTTCTATGCCATCCTCCTGGTAGGTGAACAGCACTTCCTGGAACCAGCTAGGCCTCTCTTTCTTCCTCCA